AAACAATTTCTCTCTTAGACAGAACGATGGTCTTATTTGGCTGGTTTATTTGCAAAAAGTATTATTTAATCAGCAATTACCACATTTTATGAGCAGTCGAACGCACTGATAATTGCTTCATCACTTATCTCATTCAGTTACTCATTCACATATAGTTGTTATTTCTAACAACACCAACATAATTGTTGCTGCTGTTAACTTTGACTGGAATTGTAATATCTTCCAGGATCGGCAACATGGATAAAGATAATTAATACACTACAAAAGGATTTCTCAGTAAACTATTAACCGATTCACATCGACTATAGCGAATGGTTTTGATGAAGTGCTAAGTTCTACTCAGTTTACAAAAAAAAAATATCCACTTGAATTGAATAAAAGACAAATGTGCTGTTTAAATACTCAAATCTTAGGGAAATCTTATTACAATGAAGGAAGATTATATTCTTTATCAATCTTATTTTATTATATCGATGAAAAACTAAACAATTTATTTATTTTATCTTATTACATTGGCGAAAAATCAAACAATTTATTAATATTATATATTAATAAACCATCTAAAAGCAAAAAGTCCTCACTTGGAGTGTTGTCAAAAATTAAATATTGTATTTTGAAGGGATTTTGAAAAAAAGGACATCGATTTACCATTGAATTTTTCGATACTGTGTACCTCGATGGATTAGTCTTATTGAATTTTTTCGATTGCAATTGATTACAAATGAAAATGTAATTTAATATTTATGATTGAGCACAAACTCATGCTTATTTTTTTAATTAACACAATATACGTGATTCACAGAAATACAGACTAATGCGGTATAGAAAATCAAAATGGAACTACGTAATAAAACTGAAAAGTCAAGGTTCTACGTGATTCCATATATAAGTAGAAACGTGCTTTAAGATTTATTGATACCGATGTGTCGATACCTCGACTTAATATCCAGTAAATTAACTCAAGGCAAGCATGTCAATTCTAACTATAAAATAAACAGATAAATCGATCGAGGTGTCTGATAAGACTGTAGAATATACGATGTTTAAATTTACAGGTAGAACCATTGTAACTATTTTGATCAGTGAATTTAATCTTATGTAAAACACTTAAAAAAAATAAAAAGCAAACAAACTCGACAAATAGATCGTGGTCATCTTTTATAGGCTCATATGAATACTTCAGTTTTATGATTTCATGTTAAATGGGGATATTAGTGGGCGAAACTTTGTTATAAAATTAAATCGAGACGATTCATTGGAAATATCATATAATATAGTCAATATTGTTCAGATGGATGTGTTCTACCATTTTATTAATATTTTAAAAATTTTTTTTATTTTTTCTTTTTGTCTAATACAGTTCTAGCAATAGAACCATGAATTGGTGGAGAGGACAAACAATAGTTAATTATGTTTTAATCTATCATTCGTATTCACTCGTCGTAGAGCATAAATGCAATGCAAATTACTGATAAAATCTGAATCGATAACCAGAATATAATCGATCGATATTAATAGTATTGATTTTATTGCATGTCAGTTTAATCGAGTATAATTGACTGCTGTTGAAAAAAAGTGGTCATATAAAAAGATATTGTTTCGTTCAGTAGAAAATAATTTATCCAACTTGTTTGAATTGTGTGAAAACAAAAACCATTTGTTTGCTTAATTTATATTTTCTTTTAAATTTTTATTTAAAATTAAAACGCATTTTCCAATCTTTATTGTTATGATGTACTAAATTTTTCAACTCATCGAACTATATGTAGGAAAAAAATTCAAAATGATTTCGTTTCGCAATCATTACAATTTCGTTTACGTAGAATACAAGTAATTTATGAGAACTTTCATATCTTTATTTTTTTGCGTTAACTAATACATCCAACATAGTATCTATAGTCCTTGAAAAATTATCGATAAACGGAAATGAAAAACAATACTATACTCATAAAAAAACCTTGAAACTTATCCAAAGTACGTGATAATCGCTTATTCAGTATAGTTCTGTAGTTGAAAAAATGAATGTGCATTAATAACTCTATGATAATTTTAATATAAACAGATTTCTATCACGAATCTGGTCGAAGGACAAATGCATTTTTCAAGTAGTAATATATCGTTTGACTGCCAGAATAATCTAGATTATACTGTCTACAACTTAAAAAAAAACAACTAAAAAAAAAGGATACAGGCGCTTTGCAAGTTAAGAGAGACGACAGAAAAAACCAACAACTTTCCTCTACATAAGACTGTAGATTTCGAACGTTGGATCATTCACTTTAATTGTAAAATTCCGGTGGTACGTCACTTATCCAACGAGACAAAAAAGCACTACTGAACGAATAAGTACGTCGATTTTCTTTCATAAGATGCATTGATTTATTATTGTTATAGACTCATAGCAGCTTGTTTTCTCTATTATCTTTGGTATATTTGTATCAATTGATTATTTGATTTGTAAGTATATATGAGTCTAGTCTTTGACTAGCAATATGATTCGCAGTATGGCGACTATGGGTGACTCGAAGAGCCACAATATGATTTATCAATATGAGAGACCATGAATTGCGCATCTAGATAGTAGAAAGTTTCGTAGAATATGGAACTGTAACAGACAGAGCTGTGTATTTTAACAGTCGAACAATTGTACATATATCGGGATACTAGCTATATATTATTCGAGTGACATTTTGCAGTGAAAGAATTTTTGTATTAAATAATGAGGTCAAATATTATTAGTAGTTAGATAATCAAATGGATAGAAAGTTTTGTTGACTAAAATCAATTTCATGCAAGATTTCATACATAACTTTATAGAATATAGCACGATGGATGATAGATACAACAGATATAAAAGATAAAATACTTTTTATGAAAAAAAATTAATTTTTCAAGACGGAATTAAATCGAAAAACTTTATTTATAGTGTATTTAAAAACAAACGATACAGTTGATATTCTCGAGAAAAAGATATTTATCTGAGTGCTTGAGCATATACTGAAGTCGATACACACTATTAAACTTTATAACAGTTGACAAGATATCTAAAAATGAAAAGCTATTTCAAATTAAAAGGTAAATCCATATACATCAGATAAGACAGTATACATACCTAGTATGATATTATTGAGCAGTCAAAAATAAGTTACAGCACATAGCAAAGATCGTCGTTGTACAATGACAAAACTCATATACTGTCATCATTGATAAAAATGAATAAATATATACACCACCGAATATTATCAATTGAAGAAAGAGATTAAGAAACGTCGCTAGATGGTGAAGCTGTATTAGTGAACAAAATAAACAAAATAAAATAAAAAAAATATTAAAATGAAACAAAAAGTTCTTTTTATAACATAAGGAAAAATTCGTTCATATTTTATCTTGAGATTAGTAAATTTAGCAAATATAACAACATCAAATATATTAAAGGAGAAAAACTAATGTATAATACAAAGAAAATATTATAAGCTGTGAGAGAAAGAAGCTGCTGACCAAGTATCTTGAAAAGCAGCCAAATGACGAGAAACATACTAGTTGTTAAAAAACAATTCATTTCCCAGAAAAAAAAGAAAAAAATCAGCGATTTTCGTTTCAAAATCAATAAATTTGATCAATATGATGATATGAGATAAAATGATGGATAAAAGTATTTGTTACAAAGGAAAAATCTTTTCTTTAGGTTTATGAAAGATGATATTACTTGAAAACATGAAAAGAGGAAATAATAGAGCGATATGAGTAAAGCAATAAAATAAAGCAAAGTTTGTTCTGTAGAAAAAATGTTTAATTGAATTTTCTATACGACATTGATCAATTAAATGAGTATAACAGCGTAAAAAGTAAAGAAACATGAAAATAGTACATAAAAAAGCAGTTATATATAATAAGGAGAATATTAAATTCTTTCCACATAAAAAAGAGAAAACTTCGACTGAACTATTTTAAAATAAACAAGAACAAAGTTGAAATTAATATACAAGACATAAATGTTAGATGTAACAGCAGAAACGTTTTGAATTGATTTTTCATTGAAAATCAATAGTCTAATGAAAATATTCAAAACAAATTCTTTGGCAAATTTCGTATGTTATTAAAATCGCTCAAAAAATGGCGATTTTATCTCAGTTTATTAGGTCGATCAATCGCCAAAATTGGTGATCGTTATCGATTTGTCACCGATATATTAGAGAAAATCGCAATTGTAATGCGATTAAATCGTCTGAAATGGCGATTTCTCGTGAATGAGAAGAATGATTTTCTTTTCTTCATTAGCAATAATTATTGAAAAGGAAGTTTTTCATGACAAAACAATACTTACTGTTGTTGCGATGGTTAGATGATTTAGATAAAAAAAAGAATAACAATTAATTCAAAGAAAAATTTAACATTTATTTCTATGATTAGGTGACCAATAAACAACAAAAAGAAATCAATTCAAATAGAGAATTACTATTGAGATCGATTAATCAATCGCGCAAAGGGATGTGATTCTAATTACATGGGTTCGGTTCGAGTATACAGTGATAAAATTACATATGTATTTGAGTAGGATTATTTATATAATTAAATAATGTTTGATCTCATAGGTCATGAAATATCAACGTGTTCTGTACACGAACAAATTTACAAACGAATTGCAATCGAAACTGCGCATCACATCTTACAACAAGCGGCGATCGTTGAAGGGAAACGTATATTATGTCGGATTTGCGTCCGATTTTGATATACAATATGCTGATCGAACTTGCAAACAACTCCACAATGTTAGCCTGAAGCCTTTCCAATGCCGTTCGTCTGCGGAAACTCAATATGAGTGCCAGCCTGGTGTATGCAAGCAAAAGAAAACTGCTGCATCATCATCTCTCCCACCATCATCTACACCTTTTATCATACCATCCACTATGCTTACTTTTCTTCCTGAAAATAATTCTTCATTTCTTACATCTCAATCAGTTTGCTTACGGCACACTAACGAAACATTAGAAGAACACGCAATGCGTGTTCTTGGTCCGTGTATCGAAACTACACGAGATATTACACCATTACTTGTTTCTGAACCATTAAGTTCAAGAAGTTGTGCTCCTGATATAGATCTTAGTGCTGAAACTGCATACGTTAAGGAGAAACAACAGCTTATTGATAATGTTCGATCGTGTTTGACTGCTATGACAACAACCCGACGTGCCGCTGATAATGTTTGTCAACTCTATAGTAAGGATTCAACATTTTAATCGAAGAAAGTAAAAAATGATTGCTATTGAAATTAGGACGTGGTATCGACTTCAGTGTAACCTTGAAACATTTGTTTCAAGTGCATTCAACAGCATTTTACTTAAAAGCGGCTACATCTGCTCAAATTAAGGATCTCTTATCAACTGGTCGACGATTATCATGGCCAGATCTTCCTAATAATATTAATGCTTTCAGAACAGATGTTGGCCATGAACAATTATTCATAGCTCAAACAGCATCTGCTAAAGACATTTCGTCAAAAATCGATAGTGCAACATCAATTGCAATGTCATCAAAATTAGCTTACCAACTGACTAGACTATCGTACTAATTTTTTTAAAATTTTTCTTCTCTCATTTAATACATGTATAAATTGTGAAGTAGTGTTATTTATGCACTGTTATAAAGTATCATATATATGCATCGAAAGTGGAATTTTCTCATGAACAGATTACCTTAAATTGTGATATATATAATATATATTGTTTTACAGCTTCTAAGAGAATAAGAAAAAAAAAGGAAGACGAGAAGAGACACAAAAGGACTTGAAAAAGAACAGAATGATAACACGAAAAGAGAAGATGGATGATTAAACTGGACGGAATAACGTGAGCGGACGTCAACAGAAATGGGGAAGAAGAATGAAGAAGAAATCAACGATTACGTAAAAATATAATAGAAAAGTAATACAATAATGGCAGAAAGCAAGAAGATAAAGCGATTAATATCAATGGTAGATGGAGAAGCTAACACTATTAGAGTAATGATCAATCATTTTTTAAAGAAATAAAAACTAACGCTATACATGTTTTTATTTATACTTTTCGAATTATGTCTTAACGTATTCTTTGTATATCATTGGTAATACGGCGTTTACTATTTTTAGTTCTAAATTTTAACTGTTTAAAAATAAATTTAGCTATATTCCTTCATTTCAGATTTTTTATAATGTATTTCAGTACAACTCATACATCATCATCTATCTGTACAGATGCATCTAAAGAGAAAATAGTTCCACTCAACCAAGATATTGGATATTTGTTAATGGAACATCTCGATGGTTTGAATGTCATTAATTTTATGGAAGCAGTAAATGGTTCCGAACAATTTTTAACTATTGAAATAACTGAAGAACATCTCTTTTTTAAAATGTTTATGAAGTTGATGAAAAAAGAAATAATCAATGTTAATATTCCACATCTTGATTTCTACCTGGATACATGTTTTATCGACGAGCAAAGATATTTGGGTCCAAAACAATATTATCAAGGAGAGCCACCTATATTGCGCCTTTTCATTCATCCTACATTTACGGCTGAAGCTTTTGAAAAGTTGTGTTGTACGTACAAGACTGCATCTTTTCAATGTTATAGTCGTTTATTACCGTTTAATACTCACACGTATGTCGGCAATTTGATTCTGGTTGATTATTTTAATTATAAACATTTGATCGGCTGCACACGTGAATTAAATTCTCATGAACAAAGTCTTTTTAAAGGTCTGATTTTATAAAAAGTCAATTAGTTGCAACAAAAATATTAGAAAGAATGGTTAAAAACATTTCAAATGAAATATTACACTATCTGATCACTTAAGGTGTCCTAATATGATAACGACAGCAGTATGAAGTGAAATAAAAGGCAGTACATGACTACAGACAATCAAACAGTTAATCGTAAAGGATGTTCTCATATGGACAGTAACAGTACGATGACATAAATCAAACAGTGCAACATTACAGCTGATAAATATTTGATTAAACAGATGATATGAAAGAGAAAGAGAAAGAGAAAGAGAAAGAGAGAGAGAAAGAGAAAGAGAAAGAGAAATAAAAAAATGACCTTCATATAAATGATGTTCGTAAATGATCTATACATCGACATTAAACGAAAGAAAAAAAAGAAATTATAATATCGTACGAAAAGAAGAAAAGTTAAATAAGAAATAACAAGAGATAGAAAAGAGTGCTCTGAAGTTTGGATTAAATATAATACATGAGAAATTTAACGGCGAAAAGCATTTTTTGTTGTGATTTGTTGAAAACAGAGCAAAAAGTTTACCAGCACAATAATAGATTATTTATTTTAATTCACATTCTCAATCAATATTTTCTATGCATAATATTTTTTTAATTTAGAATGTTCATTTTTCCGATCACTTCAAAAAAATAATTCAAACAAAGAATCATCATTTGTTGAATCTATTGCTGAGTTTATGACTAACTTTGCAACTCGTTTCATGTCTCCTATGTGGATTGAAGCGATTGATTTCACGAAATTTCACATCTCCGGTGGATGCATTGTTAATAGTCTTTGCAAACAACCATTTCCAGATACTGCTCTTGAACAAGTAGATATAAATTTCAATGGCAACTCATTTAGCGAGTTCGAAGGTGCCGTTGCTAATGTATTTAGTAATTTAACATCAATTTTGTCAAAGAACGATCATCGTTTAAGAGCAACATTAATAAAAAAGAGCAGCAGTATTTACACTGCAATACTACCTTTTGATATTAAGTTACGATTTAATTTTAAAGATGTTCCTGAAAAAACAAATCCTGTGAGCTATGTACTTTATTCTAGTGACCTCGATGTTAGTCAAGTAGCGTTCACAGGTGAGTCAAATTAAAACAAATGAAATATTATTAACTATGTTCTCAATAGGTTCACGTATATTCTGCACAATCGCTTTTCTACAGGCGATTGCGACAAATTCATTCATATGCTATACGATGCATGGAGATATGGAAAAAAGTATATGTGAACGGATTATTCGATATTGTCAACGAGGATTTGTTTTCCTCGAACCGAAAGAATTTGACAATGTTTTGTATATTGATATCATGAATAAAACTGTTCTCGAAGAGAAGAAAGAAGAAACACGAGAAATCATGAATGATGATGGTGAAATTCAAATCATTATAATCACCTATGAGCCGCGTCTATGGCCGTTTCCCAGCGTCGATCCTCATCGATTTCAAGAAAATTTTATAAAACGAATTTGCTCTCAAAAATTCGAATAGACAGATGTCCTTTATTGATATTTTAAATTCATTTGTTTTGTTTATTGTAAGGAAATATTTTAAAAGTACACATTAGTTTTCATTTCTTGATTTTGGTAATAGTTTTATTCTTATATTTACTCTAAAAATTATATGTGTGTTCATTATTTACCTTATGTATACATATATACGATAAATGAATAAAAGAATCGAAATATTAACGTTTTAGCTATATTTTTACTAAATCTTTAGATTATTCGAATTATATAAGCTTATAATTATTTATCAATTAAATTCGTGGATATGTCAAATTCACCAAGTAAGAAAGCAGAAAAAATGAACAGTTTGTTTTCAAACAAACGTTTCTGTTTGTAGAAAAGTCATTGAAAACGAACAAGTCTTTTGAACAGGTCGAATCGAACGATGTCACCGCAGTGAGATTTTATTTTCTTCTAACTTCTTAATAAAAATATTTTTAGGTATCAAAGTCATCAAATCCAGAAAAACGATCTTCAACAGAAGATCTGAATGTTCAAGCAAAAAAAAAGAAAATAGAAACTCCTATGCTTGAACAAAAAGTCCCGATGGCTTCTGATAGAAATACCACTCCACCAAAATTTGTGAGTGCAGCTACAATGCGTGTACCAATTCCAGAAATTACCGATGAAGAGCTTTTAGCATTTACGCTCGAATTTGAACGTAAACATGGTTTTTAATGGTCTGGAATATTATCAAGAAAAACTAAACAATATTTTTTTTTGTGTGCATCCAAATTTATTTAGCATTTTAATCAAAATATTATATTATTCACGCTTTAGAGTAGATATGAATATCATTTAACTATTATCATCAAATCATTCTTGTCTTTACTTTTCGATTATCTTTGCTTTTAGATCAAAATATACTTTAGTTCTTAATTTAATTTTAAAGAGAAAAATATCATCTATCGATTATTTCGCAGTACATTATTATAAGTAAGATGACTATATGCCTATTTCATAGACTGTTCGATATATATGCATATTTCATGGACTATTCGATATAATCTGTGGGCTGATGACCGTATCAGATGAGCCACTGTGCGTTCTCTGTGGTCTTCCTATTGATATACTGATAAAAAAATGAAGCCGTTTATTTTTCCTGCAGTCATGTAGAACGTTCCGATTGTTACTTTCGTGAACATGCATATGATAACGTTTTGCCAAAGATGTGGCATTGAATCACCTCGTATAATATTCAAGTATGTTGTTCATTTCCAAATTTTGCCATAAGTTATAAAAATTTTCATTTATTTTAAGATGATCACAGTTCACACAATTTTGTATATATACATATATAAATAGGAAGTAGCTGTGTGCACTCATATGTACATAGCCACTTCGATATAAATATAATGTACTCATGGTTAATCTTTTTTTCTTAATAAATATACCAATAAATATTTAGTAGCGGCAGTTGATTTTGAATGGTTGACTTTGTTTAATTTATTACAAAATTTCGTCAATCGAGTCGTTTCTTTAGCTTAATTTGACTATAGAAGTAGAAAAAATGATATACGTCAATAGAATAATTAATACAAGTTCATCACCTGCCTTTTGATAATTAGAAGAATATAAAAAATAGTAGCCTTGTTGGAATCAATTACTTTTTCTCGTTCTATCGCATCTAGAAAGAACAGAAAAAAGCATACAATGAGTGTTCAATGAGAGCAGCCGTAGTGGTATTAATGGCTGGGGGTGTGGGTGTGTGGGTGTGTGGGT